GGCAGCCCTGCCTTCCTCTCTACTCCTGCAGGCCTCCTTCCCCGGGTGCTCTGTCCCTGCCACCATCCCTCATGGGAATCCTTGTGGGTGGTGTGACTTACTCTCAAGTAACAGTGTGGGTGTGTGGAGGGTTCTCTTCCCACCTGGAGGGGTTGCCAGGATGGACTGTAGGTGGCCTCAGGCTGGATGGTGGCACATACATGTGCCTGACCCTCATGAGGGCACCTGACCAGCACCTGGCCACAGCGAGAGGGTGATGTGAACTTGCCAGGTGTCCGACCCTCGGGGCCACCTGAATGAGAGGTGGAAGACAGGAGGTCATGGCCTGGGGGCTCAAGTCTCAACGCATGACAGCCCTGGTGTGGGCCAGAATCACGGGAAGGGGCAGGGCTTCTGCTGCTGCTCCAGGATGGCCACCACCTGCCCCACCGTCTCGGGCCCTCGGCCGTGTCATCCTGCCCCTGTGCTTGTTCCCATGGTCGGCTCATTGAAGACATTTAGCTGGAGCCTCCGAAGGGCTTGTTTGTTTCCGAACCTGCTGGGTGGACCTCCCGGATGGGGCCATGTGGAGGCTGGTGTGGGGCTGGAGGGCTAGGGGGGGGCTCAGCCCCTTTGTCCTATAAGAGCTGTGGCTCTTTCTGCTTCCAAGAGGTGTAAGATGGGAACTAATAAGGACAGCAGGGAGAGCGGGTGTGCTCCCACAGGTGTGTGCTTGGCGACGATCACTGTGGGTGTCTGCTGGTGCCAGGCCAGGCTGGGCCCCCGCCTGCCTGTGGTCTACAGCCCAGTAAAGCAGCTGGATGCTGCTGGGGTTCAGGGACCCCGTGTACTAAGTAGAAGGCAGTCGGGACCGTGTGGAGCAGAAGCCGAGGATGACTGTTCTGGCCGGACTCTGCACAGCTGGCTGTGTGAGGGTCACTCCCCTCTCTACACATCTCTTTCAGAGTAAAGGTGGTGGGCCTACGTGCTATTTATGACCCGCTAGGTCTAAAATTAGACAGTTCTGAGAATTTTGAAGATGGAATCCTTGGTGGTTATTTAGAGGGCTCTTAAATTTTCTCTTGAAGATAATGATGTTGACTTTGGAACGTGCGAAACACTCCTCTCTGCTCCGCCCTGCAGTTGGCTCACAGTGTCGGTCCGTCTCGCTCACTTTCCTCTGTAGCCCACAGACAGTGGCAAGACCTGGCCCTGGGCTCGGGTCTGGAGAACTTGGCGCTGTCAATGTCAGGTCGCGGAGCTCCAGGGCGGGGAGGCCTGGGGATCCCAGCATGGCCACCGTGTCTGCGCAGGGGGGACCAGCATTGTCCTGGCTGGGTGCTGAGGTGTCCAGCTGCCTGCCTTACCTTACCCAGAAGCACTGCTTGGAACCCGGGTCTTAAGTGTTCTGTGAAAGTCACAGAGGCTGTGGTTTTGCTTCAGTGGCGAAGGCAGGTGTGTGGACAGTGGCTCTGCAGGCGACCACAGGGTAGAGACTGACCCTGCCCAGATCCGCACAGTTCCCCAGAGACCCTGAGTCACTGGGGGGCCGTCGGTGGGAGGTTGAACCTGCCTTCTAAAGGGATTAAGGAGACGTTACGCCCCCACCTCACCCCTCCCAGTGCCGGGATCTGGTGCGAGCCTGTCATTTGAGAAGGACCCTGGGGCCCGGGTGATCTGGCGGGGAGACAGAACAGCCCTGTGAGAGCCCTCTTGATTGTAGGGCAGCAGGGGGCACTGCTTTGCTTAGGGGGCATTAGGGGAAGGTCACCTCCTGTTGGGACTCCTGTCAGGAGTGACCTGGTGGGATCCAGAGGGATTTTCCCGGTTCCAAGGCCCAGAGGGCAGGTTCTGAGAAACCACTACCTCCTGACCCAGACCTCAGGGTGGAGGGAGCCACCCAGCATGCCGCCTGGCACCACAGGACAGGTGGCCTGGGCGGCAGAGGCATCTTTACTAACGGCAAGTATTTAAGCATAGTTTATTTAGAGGAGAGCAGAAAAAAGAGTGGAACTCAAGCAAAGGACCGAGGCAGGCCCTGGCCCGCCCTCGGGCAGGAGCTCGACTGTCTCAGGGCCTCTAACCCAGTCCCTCCCGGGCAGAGCGGCCCTGTTGCCTCTGTTCTCAGTGCCAAGGTGGGGTGGGGCTCTCATTTACCAGTCGAAGCACCACTCAGTCTTCATTCCCCACCCCCTGCCCCTGCCTGTCATGACCCAGTGCCAACCTATGGGCTCTGGGCACCCCTGATGCCTGAGCCCTCCCCACACAGAAGGCTCTGCCTGCTGTCACTTGTGTCCCTTCAACATGAGTTCCCCCTGGGGCCTGGGGGG